ATGCTCAAGAGTGCTGGCACAGGACTGAGCCAAGGCGAGAGCACAGCAACAGCAAGCAGACAGAAATCCCCCGGGTCCTAGCAGCAACCAAAAGCACTTTGTAGTGCCGGACAATGGGCTTCCTGTTCAGGGACTGGGCTCAGGATCACGTTCCAGAAGGGAGGGCCCCGCCCCTCGGGCCCGCCCCCGCCCCCGCCCGGCCTTGTGCTTCTCCACAATCCCAGCCGACGCGAGGCGAGCGCGAGGCGAGCGCGAGGCCGCCTTTCCAGCTTGCATGTCTCCGGCGCGCGCGTTGCAGCTCCCGTCTCTTAGGTCGCGGCCCCGCGCTCGAGGCACGTCTCACTGGATACCTTGGACCCCTCCAGAGAGACCAGTGTTGTAGTGCCAGGGCGGCCCTGCAAGGCCCATCAGCTGACCGAACAGCTCTGGGAGACCCCGACGAGCAGGTCTCGGGCCTCAGAGAAGCGCAGGGACGCAGAAAGGTTCGGAAAAAAGGACCCCTGACTACTCCCAGTTCACTCAGACCTTGCCGACACCTCCGGCTCGGCGCCACAGCTCCTCCGCCCCCCGCGCGCCTGAGGCGTCTAGGAAGGCGCGGAAAAGCGGATCTGTCTGGAGTCGGGGTTCCAGAGCCGCACTGCGCGTGCGCCGCGGTGCCTGCTGCGGGGGGCGGCGGTCCCCGGCTTTGCGTGGCACGCGCCGCTGCGACTCCCGATTGTCCTGCTCCGGAGGCGAGGGTGCTGGGCGTGGCTCCCCGAGGCTGCTCGGCGGGACCGAAAAGACCGCCGCTGTGCGCGCGGTGTGAAGGCTTTTCGGAGAGACCACCGCAGGCCCGTCCGCACCGTCCGGAGCCCCCGCGGGGAACCGAACCTGCGCGTGGGGCCGAGCCGCGGGACGGCGAGGCCGCGAAGCGGTGAGTTCCGCAGGTCGGAGTGGGACTGCAGGAGGAAAGCCCCGCGGCCCGGGGGTCCGCGGCGACGGGGTCCTGGGAGCCAGGCCGGGGGTCTGCAGAGGAGGGATGGGGGGAGGGTCCGCTGCTGGCCTCCCTCCTCGGGAGAGCTGGACTTCCCTGCTCGGCATGCCCAGATGGCCTTCGGGGATCCAATAGAGGACTTCGAAGTGATGGGCTCTACTTTTCATCCTGTATTCAAAGAAGGTACTGACGCGTTTAAAAAGCCCTTAACGGAAGCAAAGCTTTGTGTCCTCTTTTCCGTTTTCTACGCTCTGCCCTCTTAGGCCTTTTCTTTCAGCTTTTTTTTGGCTAACCCACACAGACCTTCAGGGAAGAGATCCGATGACCAGTATGCGATTGCCCTGAGCATCCTCCCTGCCTAAGGCACGGGGCCACTTAGAGTTGCCCCTGTGTTTGTCCCCACCCACCCCGCGCCTTGCCTCACTCCTGGGAATGATTTTTAGTGGTTCTCTTTTGCCTGGTAAGTGAATTTTTAAAACTTCAGGCCAGGAAACTGGGCGTAGTGGCGTACTCCTGTAATATCAGCGCGTTCGAGGCCAACCTGGGCTGTGGAGAGTTTAAGGCCAATCAGGACTACAGGATGAGACTCCGTGTGAAAACAAAAGGAGCTAAAAACTTCAGTTCAGGAAGATTCCTTGGGAACCTGGTCCTAGGCTGGTTACCTCCTGGGAACGAGCACTTGAGCAATACCTGAGTTTAACATAGATTTGTTTTCCTCATTCAACTTGCACAATATGTATTACAGCCTTTTCAGGTGAGATCATGAATGTGAGAGCCTGGCTCAAGGAAGAGCAGCCTTGTAAATAGTAGGTTTTGGTTGCCCCAGGTGTTTTTGTTTTAGTCTTAGATCCGGAACCTCTGGATCTCTTGCTGGAGACAGGAGTTTGGCCGCTGTCAACCGTCTATCATTAGATGGACATTTCCTGGGTTCTGAGCTAACCTCTCCACTGATCTGACTATACTCCTCTCGTTAACTGATATCTCAAGCCCTACTTGGATTTCAAACACTATTGGGTGAATGAGTAGTAGTAATAGTTTGTGGTAAAATTCTAACGGGTTTGTAGCAACATAGGAACAATATAGTGCAGTTTTCATTAAGTGTAATCTCTTGAAAGAACTACGATGCAGTCATTCAAGAGAAAATATATTGGTTGATGAGAAAGAAAAAAAATCGGATAAAACGCAACACTTTTGAAGAATGGGATGGGGGAATGGATGCCTTAAATGGATTTTTATATAAGGAGAATATCAGTTTAAGAAAAAAATTTTAAGTATGAATTCTGGGATTATATTTTGGTGTTTAAAAGTTCTTTTATGAAATGATGATGGGGTGGTTAGGTAGGTTTGATTCGGTTTTAAATCATTGTTCTTCATACAGGAAAAAGTTGCATTATGGCTGTGGCCATATGGGTCTCTCTTGTCTCTGAATTACTGTTGATTTTACAGTTCTGATTACAGTCTTGGCATTCACTATCTCCACTTGCTTTGCTCTTTTACCAATACAAGGAGAAATCTTAGTACTCTGCGCCTTCTCAGTACCTAGCATCACTCCAAATGATGTTCTGTAAACCTTGATTATTTGATTAGACATTAATTTAATTAGACATTATTTAATGAGACATTAATTAGCATGAGGTCTCTTAATTCAAATTGCTATAGAAGTGGGTCAAGAATTTCTTTTTCATCTTTTCTAGGAAGGTGCAATGGCAAGGAATTTATCTGTAATCTTGATCCTGACCTTTGCCCTGTTGGTCACAAATCCCCTTCATGAACTAGAATCAGCTGCTGCTTTCTCTCAGACCACTGAGAAAATTAATGCGAATTGGGAATCTGGCATTAATGTTGACACAGCAGTGACCACACGGCAACATCATCTACAGCAGCTTTTCTACCGTTATGGAGAGAACAATTCCTTGTCAATTGAAGGGTTCAGAAAATTGCTTCAGAATATAGGCATAGAAAAGATTAAAAGGAGCCATACCCACCATGACCATGAGCATCACTCTGACCACGATCGTCACACTCATCATAATCGTGCTGCTTCTGGTAAAAATAATCGGAAAGCTCTTTGCCCAGACCATGACTCTAATGGTTCAGGTAAAGATCGCAGAAACAGCCAGGGGAAAGGATCTCACCGCCTGGAACATACCAGTGGCAGAAAGAATGGCAAGGAGGGTGTGAATGCTGGCGAAGTGACTTCTACCATGTATAACACTGTCTCTGAAGGAACTCACTTTCTGGAGACATTGGAGACTCCAAAACCTGGAAAACTCCCCAAAGATATAAGCAGTTCCACCCCACCCAGTATCACAGAAAGGAGCCGGGTGGGACGGCTGGTTGGTAGGAAAACCAATGAGTCTGTGAGTGAGCCCAGAAAGGGCTTCATGTATTCCAGATACATAAATGACAATACCCAGGAGGTAAGATAAATGCTGTTCAATCCTCTAATATACCTGCTTGTCTGTCTTGTCATTGCTCTTATCTCTAGTTAAGGAACATAAAATAAAATTTTTAAAAAGTTGGGGGTTACTAGGAATCAAACTCAGGACCTTGCACTTGCCAGGCAGGTGCTGTGTTGCTGTATACCTGGCCCCTTAAAAAATTTATTATAAGGGGCTTTTTGTTGTTGGTTTGTTTTTTGATGCAGGGTCTATGCAGTTCAGGCTGGCCTTGAACTCATTATGTAGCCCAGGCTGGCCTTGAACTCAGCAATCTTCCTGCCTCAGCCTCTCAAGTGCTTGGATTACAGGAATGCACCACTACACCTGGCTAATTTTTTTGCTTTCTCAGCAAGGTACCTGGCTTACAGTGAGCCTACAGTGCTGGAAACATTCCTGATACAGACCTTGAAGAGTAGGTGTTTGGTGAGAAGAGTGCTGCCTGCTAGAAATTTTTTCTAATACTTATAAAATGTAAAATGTCTATAGAAAGATATTCAGGTTATTTTTGGAGAAAAGCTTTAAAGGTGAATTACTAATAAAAAATAGAAAATGGAGACATTGAAAAGTAGGAGTTAGAATCCATGTTTTAGGAAAAACTGTTGAAATGGCTGAAGAACAGCAAGGGTAGTGTGGCCTCCATGGCAAAAAAGCTTACAATAACTTGTAGAGTGATTGAAAATTGCAGCAGCTACCAAGAACTTCATACTAGACAAGCTCAGTGTGTGGTTAGAGATTCAGAGTTCATGTGGTTTTGCACTTCAAATTCCCACCTATTGCACGAACTTAGCTGAAAGATATCAAGAAAAAAGAATTAATTGATATACTTTAGTAAGAAAAACTTGAGTACTGCAAACCAGCATTAATATGACACAGCAGTGACCACCTGGTAACATCATCTACAGCAGCTTTTTTACCACTATGGAGAGAACAATTGCTTGTCAGTTGAAGGGTTCAGGAAAATGCTTCAGAATATAGATAAAGAAAACATTAAAAGAAGCCATATCCACCATGACCATGAGGATCTATACTAAGATACTAAAGTGCTTGTACTAAGATAAGTTTGGAATAATCCTACTAATAGTTATAACTATAGCAACAATGGTTATGAAGTTTCTTCTTAGTGGTATTGTCCGAGAATTGTGGGAGTCTGAACTGTCCTTACAGAACATCGGAAACAGGCACAGGGGTTTTTTTGTTTTGTTTCATTTCGTTTTGTTTTTGGAGGGGAGGTTAAATTGTGTAAAGGAGTTTCTCTTCAAACCAAGGTTCTTAGCCAGTTAAATTGTTGAAGACATTTGCCTGCCAAGACAGGTTTGCTTTGTTAACCAGCGTTGGAAGAGAAATCTGCATAATTTAATATCCTCATTCTAGAGCATTACTTTGCCAGGTATGTAGACAGAACTGAGCTAAGTTTTTACAAGTAGGGTCATTGATAGAAAAACACGTCTTGGGCTTGTTTAGGCCACATAGGATAGCATTAGTACTAAAATATATTTCTCAATCCCTGATGAATCCCATTTCAGAATTAAAGCTCATTTTCTTAACAGGTTTATACAATGAATTAACAGGCTTGTGAATTTTCATTTATTCTCAAGCTTGTTGTACTTGAGGTTTTTTCTCTATGTGACTAATGACGGAAGTGCTTCTCTCAAGTAGGGAGAAGGTAGCATAGTACCACAGTGTCATTTCCTCCACATAACTAGAAGCAAGTTCCAAAGTACTGAAAACAGAAGTTGATTTTAACATGAATTGACCTAAGTAAAGAAGAACTTTTAGTAAGGAAAAGGTATGTTGAAAAGTACATTTTCTCTAATGGAAATGCCTGTCAGTGATTTTCACTGCTTTGTTTCCTTCAGTGTTTCAATGCATCAAGGCTGCTTATGTCTCATGGCATGGGCATCCAGGTTCCACTGAATGCAACGGACTTCAGCTATCTCTGCCCAGCCATCATCAATCAAATTGATGCTAGATCTTGTCTGGTTCATACAACGAGTGAGAAGAAGGCTGAAATCCCACCAAAGACCTATTCTTTACAAATAGGTAGAATTGCCTTTTTATGTTAAAAAAAAAAAACCTCCTAATAGATACATTTATGTTGTACTTCTTATATTTAACATCAACCTATTCATTTTTTTATCATGATTCCAGATATATCATCTAAGATTTTCTCTACCCAAAATATGAAGAAAACAAGTATAATTTAGCGTTTCCCTTTTAAAAAAAAGTCAGAAAGTAAAACTTAAGTGATGCCTTATCTGAGGTCATCCCAAAAGATGAGTCAGGATCACCTCAAACTTGAGCTTTTTATATCATGTCACACTGTTTGGGAGGAGGGTCAGAGTTCATCTCTGTTACTTAGGAGCCTAATTCTGGTATGCTCTTATTGTGAAACTAGGATAAGTCCTGATATGGTATATGTCACATTCTCAAAAGCTATAAAGAAGAAGAAATAATTGCTTTGTTTACTGGGAGATTTTTTGAGTTCCTAGTTTCCTTCTTGCTCCTTTTCAGTTTTAATTTTAAACTTTTTCCTCTTTCATAATTTAACTGTTCTGGGAATCTAAAGGTTCAGGTAAGCTAGAGTTCATCCTTAGAAACATTTTTTTCTCCTCCTTCTGCCCCTACTTGAAGAATTTTCAATTTATGATCCTTATCTGAAAGATTCTTAATTACTAGTCAGGTTATCCATTTGAGTTTCTCAGTTACAGTGCTATTGCCATAGTCCTATTTGCATTGTTTGTTTTCTTGTTAACTTCTTTGGTCTTACATGTTGCATTGTGCTGCTCTCCAGAAATCTCTCTTTAAAAGTTATCAATTGTGTGATATTCCTTTGCTCTGTTTTAACAGCCTGGGTTGGTGGCTTTATAGCCATTTCCATCATCAGTTTCCTGTCCTTGCTGGGGGTTATTCTTGTGCCTCTCATGAATCGGGTATTTTTCAAATTTCTGCTAAGTTTCCTTGTGGCATTGGCTGTTGGGACTTTGAGTGGTGATGCTTTATTACACCTTCTTCCACATGTAAGTACAGTAACTTATCCTGTTATTATTCAGCATTGAAAATATTTGTAGATATTTGATTCGTACTAGAATTCTTTGTATCAATATGTATTAAAGACCAGGCGTTGTTGGTGCATCCCTGTAATCCCAGCAGTTGGGAGGCTGAGGCAGGAGAATCATTGTGAGTTTGAGACTAGCCTAGGCTACAAAGTGAGTTCAAGGCCAGTCTGAACTGCATAGCAAGACCCTGTCTCAAAAAGACCACCCCCCCAAAAAAGGACTAAAATTTTGGCTTAGAGAAATGAATTCTACAATATTTTCAGTAACAAAGTTGCATTGTTGTGCTAGATCTTAGTATATCTTCATGGATTTTTGCGTTCCTCTTTAAAGAAATCTAAATAAAGACTAACTTTTTGAACCTACTTAAAAGTAGACAAATTCTACTGATACTAGTACTATGCCAGACTGCAACAATGGGAATTGTCTGCTTATCTCTTCCTGTAGTTACCACGGAAGTATAATACATGACCATTTATGTACCCAAAACCTCAGGCTTTCTTGAGTAGATTTATGTGCATATTTTGAGATTCACACTTCATGACAGGAGTGAATTCTTAAAACAGATTTGGTAAAGTGAATTTACTTTTGCATTAAATATGTGGGATATAGCTGTGGCCTAGTGGGCAATCCTATAATCACAGCACTCAGGAGGGAGAGGCAGGAGGATCACTGTGAGTTCAAGGCCAGCCTGGGTTACATAAACAAGTTCAAGGATAGCCTGGGCTCCATAGCTAGACCTTGTCTCTAAACAAATAAATAGGATAAGTCTCAGGCAGTAAGTATTTGGATCTCATTTTTTAAAATTTCCCTTGGAGATTTTTAGATAGTGGAAAAGGAAATCATTCTATTACTAGAACACTATAAATCTCAAGTCTCTTCAGTAATGAAAAAAAACTATTTTGTTTTGACAAGTTCCCTGACCACCAGATGACAGTTGAGAAGTACCTGCAACACAAAGTGGCATGTATATGAAGTTGCTCTGTGACCTCAGTTAGTGCGCTCCACACCCAGCTCCCTAACATGCAGTAGCAGTAGTTAGTTACTGCAGTGCTCAGCTGCAGGCTCCTGGGTCAGTGCATGTAGACCTGAGAGGCCTCCTGGGCCCATTCACTATACACAGACTAGGCTTACCTGGCTATGACATGGCTGATGACGCTGGTATGATCCTTTCAGTTGGGAATATGAACAGTAAATATGACCTGCCAGTTATATCTAGCAATTCCCTGTTAATTGCGGCCACTTTACCTTGTCAAACGGTAAAAATACCTAAATATTCTAGGGAGTATATCTGTCTTTATGCTAAATAGACCTACTATAGTAAGTACCATAGTATATAACGTACGTTAAGCTCTAGATAGCTAGCTGCCCATTGGTTATTTTAGTGTTCCCTCAACTCCTAAGTGTCCCATGAATTGCCTACTTCTGAATGATTTCAAATTTGACACCCCTCTCTTGGCCATTTTTTCTATAATGTATGAAACTGATGAACTTATAAAACATGTATCACTTTGCTTTTAGTCTCATGCAAATCACCACCACAGTCATAGCCATGAAGAGCCATCAATGGAAATGAAAAGAGGCCCACTTTTCAGCCATCTGTCTTCTCAAAACATAGAAGAAAGTTCCTATTTTGATTCCACATGGAAAGGTCTGACAGCTCTAGGAGGCTTGTATTTCATGTTTCTTGTTGAACACGTCCTTACATTGATCAAGCAATTTAAAGACAAGAAGAAAAAGGTAAGAAAAAGCATCCTGGGTACTCACTACTGCATCAGACATTTACCTAGAGTAGCACTCTAACTAGATTTTTAAAATAGCCTGTCCAGATTGTATAGTCTCTACTGAAGAGGGATTCAGTACCCTAGAGGCACTTTTCTGTCCCTGAGGCATTCCTGTAGAGCAACAATTCTATATCTTGATAACCCTAGAATTTTCTGTCTTCATGATTCCTGGAAACTCATCCGAAAGTAAGAAAGACAAGAATAAGCATCTATATAAATGACCATATGCAATGTACAAACAGGGCCTTTAAGCCCAGAAAGGTCATGGATATACAATCAATAATAGTGATTACAATTAACTGTGGTGGTTGATTTTAAATTCTTCACTTAGTAGCTGAATGTTCTGTTGTGTTTCAAAGGGTATGTGGCATTTACAGACTTACTCTTTGCAAACTGGACCATAAAATAATATGAAGCCATATGCTTTTTTTTTTTCAAGTAAAAATACCTTCGAGACCTCTGAAGTTATCTCTCTCTTATCTAATATGATTAGGCTAGTAAGTTGAGAGAGTGTTAGAAAGAATTCTTAGAAATGACAAGTGCAAGCTGGGCATGGTACCATATGCCTGCAATCCCAGCACTCAGGAGGCTGAGGCAGGAGGATCACCCAGAGTTCAAGGCCAGCCTAAATGCCAAGGATATAGCTCAGTGGCATAGCGCCTGCCTGGCAAGCACAAGGTCCTGAATTCAATTCCCAGTCCCCCGCACAAAAAAACTTAAAATACATAATGAGGGCTGGGGATTTAGCTCAACGGCACGGTGCCTGCCTGGCAAGCGCAAGGTCATGAGTTCGATTCCTGGTCCCAGGAAAAAAATAAAATAAATTAAATTAATAAATAAATAAATAAATAAAATAAAATACATAATGAAACTCTGTTACAGCCAGACATGGTGGCACACGCTTGTAATCCTAGCACTCAGGAGGCTGAGGCAGGAGGATCGTTATGAGTTCAAGGCCTGCCTGGGCTACATAGTAAGTTCAAGGCCACCCTAGAGTACATAGTGAGTGATAGTGAAACCCTTTCTCAAAAGGAAAGAAAAGAAAAGAAACCCTGTTACAAAAAAAAATGATAAGTGTACCTCTCAGACACTTTAATTTGACTTACATGTATTTATTTGATATTGATAGTGTCTTCTTTCAACTAGAGAACTGTTGTATTTTTTCTTTTTTTAATAGCCATGCTATATATTTATTTATTTATTTTTTAGCCATGCTATATTTCATGTACTATTTCCAATTTTTGTTTCTTTAAATTGAACAAGAGGTTATACACCTGTAAAGTTATTCTAAGTACAGAACTTAGGTTTTAGAAATTTTTTAAATTTTGTAAAGTGATTGCTTTACATAATTTGATCTTTTTTTAGCAGCTTGCCTTTGGATTTTTAAAAGCATTTAACTTACATGTTCATAAAAGTAGCTATTACCATCATCATTTCATAGTTGAAGCAACATGTAATTAAATTGTGCAATTATAATAGCAGGTATAACTGGCATGAAGAGGTTTGAAAACTAACAGTTGATTCTTGTTGAGCATTGAGCTTACTGTGGGAAACAAGCATGTGTGAACAGGAGAGCAGCTCGCTCTATCCTATGAATATTTGCCTTTATGGATTTTACATTCACTGAAATCTCATTTAGTAAATTTTGAAGCCTCTCTTTAATGAATGTAAATGGAGCCAGGAAGTTAAATAATGGTTCATTGCAGCCATGTACGTTGATTACAGGCATGCACTATTCCACCCAGCCCTCTGTGTCTTATCTCCAGTGCCTAGAGGAATATTTGGTACTTAATAGATGACTGATATTTATTGAATCTGCAAGAAACCTAAACACTAAGCATAATTTCTAGACAAAGTCTTCTCACAGGAATTTTGCAAACATAGCATGGTCTTTTCCCTTTTTGGAATATGTTGTTTACTTTTTGTCAAGGGTGTCCAGATCTAGTATTATGTAATAGTTTTCCATTTCATTTGGTTCTTTCAAAAAGGAAAATCTATTTTTCATATAATGGATTTTGGGAGCACTTCAGGCATCTAAGAGGACATTCTACTTAGCTTTTTCTTTTAGCAATCCAAGCTGCACCCTTGGGAGGTTCTGGATAGCATAGTTTTAGGTCACCTGTTCTGTGTGTCAGTCTGAAATCTCTAATTCCAGTTAGGGTCACTTCTCATATATATGCTTGATACATACAGTTAGACCCTTATAACAATTCAACTTCAAACTTTCTAACAGTGAAGGTTATTATTCACACTGGAAATCAGAGAATCATTTGTGACATGCTTCTCATCCCCATTTCCAACCTAATTTTATTAACTGTGTCTGTGACCATTCCATTTCTCTCTGTCTTCCTTCTCAGTCTAGTCCAGACCCTAGTAACAGCAGTTACGCTATATCTGGCCTGTCCATGTTATTTTGTTTTCCTTCACAAATTAGGCAGTAATTTGTTTAAATACAAAGATGACAAGGTTGTATGCACTACCTAAAATCCTCCAATAGCTTCCCATTGCTTTGTTGAAAATGTCCACTACCCTTAACATGATTAGCATTGTCTAGACTCCTTCAGCTGCCTCAGCCTCATTTCTAGCCAGTCTTTCTCTTTGACTAGCAATGCACCAGTCTGTATTTCTTTTAGTTCCAGAATGGTCCTGGTCCCTTCCTGCTTCAAGGCCCTCCCACATACTGATCTTTGCCTGGAACACTTGTCTCCCTCCTCCATAAAACTCTTGCTTAAATCTTAGTATAGTTGTCACATTTTTTTTTTTCAAGAGACTGTCCTGAAATGTATTTAGGTCTCATTTTTCTTTTGTAAAATGTGCTGAATATTGGATTCAGAGGACTGTGTAATTTTCTGTGCTAAGTCCCTTTCCCTATGGATGATAAGCTCCAAGAAAACAGAGACTGTGTATGTTGTTCTCTATGTACTGTATCACTTAGCATGGGGGGACATTGTATGTCCTTAATACTTAAGGAATGAAAAAACATGGTTCAATATATAAGTTCTAGAGTCATTACCCAATGAGAAATGAAGCAGTAACTAAATATTTTAAGGTACCTTTAATTCATTTCAAAAACATGTACAGTTATTATATACAATTTTTAAAAGTGTGAAACTTTAAAATACTGTGAATTCATTTATTTTCACAGATATTTAAGTACTTTCTTTGATACCTCAGAGAAAGCACAGGGATGAATATAAAGATTTGTTTGTGGCTGGAGGTGTAATTCAGTGGTGGAGCATGTGCTGCATGTATGAAACCCTGAGTTCCATTCCATATACCAAAAAAAAGTGTTTGCCTTTAAAAAGTCATCTAACCTAAGAAGACAGAGATGTTTTGTATTCAGTTAGTCCTGTAATGTAACCTCAGCTATGGTGATGGTTCTTCTAAATTATATTCAAAGATGCTGCATATAAGAAACCTATTATTTGTTTGATAGTTTCCATCACTTTAAATATTTTCTTCCACATAAACAGGTAATACAGAGGTCCCATTAATCAGTGTGACCTTTACACAGCATAATTCTTCCATTGGCCCCAGATAGGGACCATAGTGTTGAGGATGGTTAAAAAGTTCAGTGATTTAAAAACAAGTAAAATAAAAAGTGATAGTTTCAGGGCTAACAGACACTTGCTGGAAAAGAGAAAACATAGTGGTGATTTGTTAAAGAAAAATATTTTAGTTTCTATAACTAAAAAGCTAAGTTTAGTTTTAGGTTATAAAAAGTACAAGAAGCAGCTGGGCATGGTGGCACATGCCTGTAATCCCAGCACTCCGGGAGGGTGAGGCAGGAGGATTGTAAAATCCAATGTGGTAAATTTAGTAATTTAGACTGTCTAGAATTATATAAAAGATTTGGGAATGTAGCTCAGTACAAAAGTCCTGGGTTCAGTACCCAAAAAACAAAAGAAAAAATGGATAAGAAGATGATATTTCGTGTCCAGAGTAAAAACATAGAGGAAACCAAACAGTTGGTTACCAGATCATTAAATGCCAGGAAATGCCGCTAGCTGGTTCTAAATTACTAACCTACGGTAGAGTTTCTTGAGTTTAATGTACAGATGAATCACCAAGGGATCTAATTAAAATCCACATTCTGCCTCATCATTTTTGGAGCGTGGCCTGAGAGGTTGCATTTCTTTTTTTTTTTTTTTCTGGTACAATTTAGATATACATAATGATAACATTTATCATAAGAAATTTGTACCTGTACATGACATATCTTACTTTTTTTTCCCATTCCCTTCCCCTCCTTATTTACAAATGCTTTGTTTCCATTTTTTTCTCTTTCTCTTGTCCTTTCTTTTCCCCCTACCCCCTCACTTGTTCCACTTCTCACTTGAACATTTTCTTCCCATTTCCCAATATCTATTATAAAGTTTGGTCCTTATTTACACTTTCAGTTTCTTATAGTAGAGAAACAATGCAGTTTTTAAACATGTGTTTCCAGTTTATTTCACTTAAGAGTATGGTATCAAGATGCATCCATTTAGCTAGAAATGTCTCAAGCTTATCCTTCCTCATGGTTGAGTAGTACTTCGTTGTATTTTTTTAAAAAAATCTACATCTTTATCATTCATCAGTTGATGGGCATTTGAGCTGTTTGGGAGGTGTAGCTATGACAAACTGCTCTGTAAACATGAGTATGCATATATTGCTGTGGCATGATGCTTTTAATTCTTTCAGGAAGATACCAAGATGGGCAATAGGTGGATCAGTTGTAACCTTTATTTTTAATTTTTTGAGGAATCTCCACATTGATCTCTAGATTGGTCGCACCAGTCTAAACTCCCACCAATAGTGGAAAATGTTTCCTTTTCCCCACAGCCCCACCAGAATTTGTTACTTGGTTAATTTCTTTTTTTTGTTGCAGTTATTGGTTAATTTCTTGATAATAACCATTCTTTATGGAGTGAGATGGAATCTCAGCATTGTTTTAGTTTGCATCTCTCCAATGAC